TATATGACCACCTATGCAAGATTCACACAGCGGCTTTTCCCGACACCCCCACAATAGAGAAACATGCTTTGGTTCAACAACCCTTCTTCTTGTTCACCGGCGGTGTGCTTGGGACGATCTCCGAGACACAATCAAAGACATTGATCGCACCCTCGGCTTATGTGATATGGGTCGGTGATACATACCACTTGTCATATTCTTCAAGTTTTAACAAGTTAGTTAGTGTAGATACTGGACAGCCGGTGAACGTCCACCGGATCGCCCCGAACACAATTGTGAGACTCGCGACAAAGGGCCGGAGCAGGAGTCGGAACTTGAGCGGGACACACTGATCACGGCCAACTACCTCTAGTACGGGACACATGATGTTTTTTTTGGCTTGGCTGGTAATGACAGGAAGTTGTGATAGAGAAGGATGGTATGGAAGATGGTAGGTTAACATGATTGGATTTAGGACTAGAGGAAATAGTGGTAGTTGTCGAAGCAGCAGTAGTAGAAGGAAGAGTGAAAAAGGGAGGGGGAGGATGAGGGAACCGACCATTTAGTAAGAGGTCCCAGTATGGGATGTCAGTACGGGTTGTTGGACAGTACAAGACACCTGGGGTTTGCGGTTGCAGATGCGGAAGGAGTGATTATGTGCCAAGTATCCGCGAAGGGGGGAGAGGGGATGTTGTAGATTCAATTTCACTTTTTTTTTTTTTTTTTTTTTTTTTTTTTGGTTTATTCTGTATACATGTGCAATCACAATGGAGGCCATTGTCTGCTAGGTTGAACTTGACGGAGGCTGTCTTTAGGCACCTCTAGATATTTTTTTTCGAATTGTCGAGATCGAATAAAGAGGGTTGGAGATTACGTACAGTCAAGTATCCCGTGAAAACAACCAAGTTGACCCAGAACCACATATCTCCACAAGTATATACATCACCTACAAACATTACATATTTCCCGCACGATCTTTCTTTCGCCCAAGATTAGCCCTCATCCTTTGTAATCCCCAACCCAACCAACACCACCGTCGCCACATCCATCACCACCACCAACAACCACAACAACCACGCCACGCCCGCCGTCACCACATTATTCTTCATGTCCACCGTCCCCGTATCATCATCCGCCGGCACCTGCATATACTTCTTGCAACACGTATACCACACAATCGGAAACGTAATGGGAATCAGCGCAATCGCCAGCAAGTAATTACACGCCACCAGCGCTTTACTCAACCCATCTTTGCCCACCGCCAACGCAATCACCAGCGCCGGAATGATCGCCACACATCGGGTAATCAGTCTCCGCAAGAAGGGGTTGAGGCGGATATCCAACGCCCCCTCCATGATGATTTGCCCGGACATGGTGGAGACGATACCAGCGCTGATTCCCGAGAATAAAAGGGAAACGGCGAACATGATGCCTGCTGCGGGGGCGATGGAGTCCCTGAAAAGGGAGTAGAGGGCGTAGAGGTCTTCGGAAATTTCTTCTTCTTCCGAAGGATTCTCGGAGTAGAAGGCTGAGCCGGCTATTACTAGTAAAGCGGAATTGACGAAGATGGCGACGGTGAAGAGGGTAAAGGTTAGTTCGGCGATGGAGTAGCCTAGACAAGATTTGATGGCGCGGAGGGAGGGGCGGTACCCGATAGTCTCCGAGCTAGAATTGGGGGACTGTTGCCGGGGAGAGAAAGAGGGAGAGGGGGAGGGGAGGTCATGCTTGCTATCGTAATCATACAACCTTGCGCGAGAGAGCGAGGTGCCGACGTAAAGGGCATGCGGCATTAGCGTGCCGCCCAAAATGGCGCACGAGGCGTATAAACCCGTGTCAACAAAGATCTCGCGTGAGGGGACGTACCCCCGTAGGATTTCGCGGGTGGTGCTGGTGCTGTGGTCTACCATGGAGAGGGCGATGCAGATGGTGACGAAGACGACGACGACAAGGATGGAGACGAAGGCTTCGAAGATGCGTACCCGGCGGAGCTCGCCCGTGTCGGTGTAAAAGAGGAGGACGAGCAGGGTCTCGACTACGGAGATGACGCAGGCGGCGGGGAGCGGGAGCTTGGGAATGAGGATGTTTAGGGCGATGGCGGTGCCGATGACTTGACCGAGATCGGTGGCTATGATGCTTGCTTCGGCAACGACGTAGATGGTGAGGTCTAGCCAGCGGGGAAGCCATCGACGGTTCATTTGGGCCAAGTCCATGCCGGTGACGGTTCCTAACTTGACGCATAGTGACTGGGTCGAGTTAGCAAGAGACGGGGAGGATTCTGATGTTGCTGATGAGTCTTACTTGGATATAGATGGCTATTAGGTTCGAAACTAACACCATGAAGAGCAGCTTATACTGGAATTCGGCGCCAGCCGAGATGGCTGTTTGATAGTTATCCGGATCAACATATGCAACGCTGATGACAGCACCTGGGCCTAGAAACTTGAAAAACTTCCAGATCTTGGAGCCTATCGACGCCGGCTCCGAAGACGGCGGTGGTCGCGGTTGGTATACCGGTGGGGGAGAATGACGATTTGGCGGCAGTCCGAACCAGGTTCGCAGCCCGGCAACCCATGGTCTTTGAGTCTGTTCGCTGTAAACGGAGGGAGAAACTTGGGGGATTGCAACTTTCTTTTCGTCCTGCTCGTAGTTGTTGACCGTTGAGATTCCCGGGGGAGGTTGAACCTCGGTGCTACCAAGGTCTGTCATGGTGGCCATTATGGTGCCTGCCCGGGACAATAATGGAAAGAAACAGGCGGATGAATATCAACACTTGTTGGTATAGACGAGGAGGAGGAAGGCACGGGATATTATACACCACCCTCACCCGTGAGAATGCACGATGGCGGGCTCCCGTCCCTTCATTGCAACCACATTATGCACCGCAAAGCGCGGGAGGCGGGAGGCCAGAAACTGCATACTGCTAGAGGCCGAACAGAGGAAGAGAGGGGTCTAGGGCTGAAGATGGAGTTGTTCCTATGAGAACGTTTGGCATCTTGTGGTGGTCAAATGGCGTTTTTGCTGGCAGCTGATTGATGGGTGGAAAGGCAGTTAACAGGGGTGCCCAAGCCACTTTGAGATATCGGTGCAGACTGGCTGGCTGGAATGAAGGAAGACCTCACTCTGGCCTTCCAGTCCATTTGACTATCTGAATTGATGGTGAAGAGCCAAGGAGTGATAAGCAAAGAAAAAGGGACGATGGGTTGGTCTAGAAGAAGGGCCAAGAGGAAAATACTGAGGAGTGTTCGGGTTTCTGCGTGGCGTGAGAAAGTCTTCTTCCGAAAATGGCTCGAAAGGGAGAGGTTCCAAGAGCTGAGTCAGTTGTTTTTGCCCCATGAAGGTCGGAATATCCTCATTATCACTGTCTGCCACATTGTGGAAGACAAACAGAGGCCTTGGCTGGCTATTGTGATGAATGGTCAGATGCATTTCCAGCAGCGAGTCTCTGTCGTCCGTGGAGACGAAAGACATGTCTTGCTCGGATCATCCCGCCTGAGGAAGGCAGTCTGAGATGTAAAAGTGCTCAAGTCAATCTCATATGAACCAATCCAACCAGTTCCAACATTGAATATTCCATGCTGTGGGAGAAATGGCATGATAGAGGTGAAAATGGTGAAGTGGTGAAAGAGTGTGGAAGACGGGAGGTTTCTGCAGTGGTGACAGCCGTGACGCTCTATGCGGGTTAGTAACCGCTTGCATCCAGCCCGCCACAGACCGGCCAGCCACTCAATGTTTGCGAGCCCCAAGCAGCTTTGGCTTTGGATGGCGTTGCCCTTAAAGTCGAAGTATGTACATAGTAGATCAGGTCGGTATGTTCCATCACCACGACACAAAACTTCCTCCGTGGCAGACGCTCGCGTGGAACTGAACTTTGTGAAATCGTGGCAGCTGAGTTCTGCTACATAGGTAACATTCGGTACGGTAATCTCCCTTGCTTTTACAAGAAGACTGGCGGCCAATTTCCATGCATTTAAGGGGGATCTTGCAGAAGAGGGCTACAGGTGCACAGACCAGGTGGAGCCGCTACCCATTAGTATGGGGAATCTTGCACCCCCATACCTGCAAACCCGTCTTTGAGGCTTTGTAACACGAGTCTGGTACGAGAGTTTCTTGAATTCAGAGGTCAACTTGCATTAAGAGAGGTTTGTATATGCAAGGGACAACATTACTGAAAGCAATCACCACCGTGGCGCAAAATGGGGCGATAAACACCGTTCGCAGTGGAATTAATTCGGGGAAGGCGACGACGCAATTGGCCTCGCGGCGTTCAGCTCTTCACAGCTGAGTGATCATTGACGGGAAGGCAGGCGCCAGCAACCAGAGTGTTGAATGATGCTGCCCTTCCTTTGTTCAACCGTCGGACTTGATGAAAACAGCGGTGCTTCCCTTAGAGGAGAGGTAGGTAGGTAGTGCCATCCCACCTCGGCTGACCCACGACGATGCAGTGAGACAAGACACCATCATTTGAAGTGTTGTTGGACCATTCCCCTCTTTTATTTCCTCTCCGGATTAACTCCAGTCTTTCTTTAACTCTCAACTACTGTGGTACACATCGATGGCGACCATCGACTCTCTCCTCTTCAACATCTCCTCCTTCATCGCCGGCCTGTTCCTCCTCGAATATGGCGCCGACAAGTTCATCGACCACACGGCCATCGTTGCCAAGAGACTCAATGTCTCGCCCACTCTCGTTGGACTCTTGACCTGCGGCGCCGAATGGGAAGAGCTCGTCGTGATCATTGTCGCTCTGAGCCAAAAGAACTCGAATATGGCCCTGGGCAACTTGATCGGTTCATCCGTTGCCAACATTCTCGCATCCTTCTCGCTGGGATTGCTCTTCATGAAGAAGGCCGAGTTCGATCGCAGCTCCAAGATCTACTCAACTGCTCTTCTCGGCCTGACAACCATCTTTTTGCTCCTGCTCATTGCTCTCAAGGGGTCCTCTTTCCAATGGTTTGGCGGTATTCTGCTGATCGTGGCCTTTGTGGTTTACGTTGTCTCTGTGGCGTCTCTCATCTACCGAGGCACGCTCACGGCCCCTGAAGACTCGGACAGCGACAGCGACAGCGACAGCAGCGACGATGACGGCGATAGTGACAGTGACAGCGACAGCGACGACGACCGAACGATCAATGCCAATGACAGCGACAGGGGGCGCCCCAGCGACGAAGAGCAAGGATGGACTTCCGACAAGGGCCACCAGCTCAACCTGCTTAAGCCCTCGCCGAACAAGATGGTCAAGGCCAAAGAAAAGCCCAAGACCGTCAAGGTCATAAACAAACGCCCCAAGGCAATGCGCCAGCATGTCTTCCAACTCGCCCTCGGTCTTGCTGCCTTGCTTGTCTCTAGTTACATCATCGCACACAGCGCATCGACTATCGGTCACGAGCTGGCGCTGTCCGGCACCGTCGTCGGCACCACGATTCTTTCGCTGGCCACCACTCTCCCAGAAAAGTTTGTCGCCATTCTCGGAGGTGCCCGACACCAACCAGGCATTATGGTTGCCAATACTGTCGGCTCCAACATCTTCCTGGTGACTCTCTGCGGCGGAGTGTTGTTTATCTGGGGAGATGCCAGTCAGCTGCAGCTCGGGTTCACTCTTTTCGAAGCCACTGTGATGTGGCTATCGGCTGTGGTTATCTTTGGCATTGTAATGATGGGCGGGAGACGGTGGATGGGCGTCGTAATGCTCGTTGGCTATGTCGCTTTTTTGGCTGTGGAGATTATAAGTGGCCGCGAGCTTGACGATGAATGAGCATTCGCGGAAATGTCTTCTTTCTTTTCATCGTTTACTATCATCTTGGCGGGCTGTGTGTGCTTATAGAGGATGATTAGAGATTCCGTGGGAGTAATCCGGGCTTTCCCTGCAAGCTTTGTATCTTTATTGACCATGTTCAAGTCGATATGCTCGTCTTATGCTTCCACGCTTACCGGATCTCCTTGTTATCCTTACCCACGCAGATACAAGACTTATCTCTCCTCCCTTTCGACAATCTGCTTCGAGTGTTCAAGTCATCTGTCACACATCACGTTTGCAACTGTGACCTTCCAAGTCCAGAAACGACCCTGGAAGACGCCGACGTCGAACCTATGGAAGTCGCTCCTGCAAGCCAAGCCTCTTGGCTCGAGAAACAAGACTCGTCGATGAAGTTTACCCCAGATTCCTAGATTTTCTTGGCATCACCAGACACAACATGGCGTCGTCGCCAAACCCCCAGATTTTCCTTGACAATCTCACCATTTCCTAAAAATAAGACAGCAGAGGTTCTTCCGCTTTTCCTAACCCACAGACGATTATTCCCCTCACTTTTGGCTCTCTTCCTTTATGCGGGGAAGTGGAATCTCCCCAGATCCCAAGTGGTCTAGACTCTGGAAGCTGAACGACGACCTTTTCCCTTCCTTTGTGCTACGTAACGGTTCCCGATGCTTTTCCTTTTCCTTCTCCAAGTACGGCAGACCCATGTTATAAAAGCCAGGAGAGTTACGCCCATCATCAACCGACCTCTTTCTTCACTTCGACACCTTTTTTTTTTTTTTTTTTTTTTTTTTTTTTTTTGCGTATCTTCTACCTACGAATCCCTCACCAACACAGCGATACAGCCACATGGCAAGTCGTCCACCGATCTTATCGCGCCGCACGACCTAACATGGAAACCAAAGAGGTCAAACCCCATCCGACAAGAAGCTGGGCACTGTACAATGTGCCAACGTGAAGTCAATTTAAGCATAGAATACCACCTACCGAAGCAACCTATAGCGTGGTCCAACCCCAGCCAACCTATCAGGCGTGCGGGGTTGGGGTAATCACGCCGTGTCACTACCATCCTTGGCTCTCGTACATATCTCTCTCTCCCTCCCCCAAGGCCAAGGAGAAGTCTATCCGAGTCTGGAACCTGTGGCTGGCCTGGACTCATCTAATCCCGCCTTTATAGGTTCTCCCTCGCTGCCTACCTACATACCTACCTACCAGTTCCATATGTCCGTAGTTTTTCTATGGTTTCCTGAGATGGATGGTAGTGTTCCTTTCTCCCGGGTTTTCTTGTCGTCTTTGCTTCTTTTCAGTCATTCCAACCATTCACGAGGCCTGCGGGCTGTCACTCGTTAACAGACTTTTGGCTGGAACCGCCCAATGATGGCTTCACCAAGATGATAAGGAGTGGCATCGAGAAGTGTCTCACGGGACCCTAGGAGAGTGCTGCCACCATCCTCCCTCACCTTTTCTCTGTACTATATAAATCGCCAAGCCCATTCTTTGTTGGTTCGCATCCCTCATGCCGTACCAGCTGAGAAGCTGATGCAGGACTAAGTTGTGCCCAAGGGACTCGGCTGGATGCTTGAGAGCATGTGGTTAGACTTGGCGCAGACACGCAGACACTTGCGAGGTATCCATGGTGCGAAGACAAGTATTAATGGGGGATGTCTCCCGGGCCTGCTCTCATGTGTTTCTCTTGCGAATTTTTGGGTCTTCACTCTTGCAAATCGCAATTACTACAGCTACGTACGACATCAAAGGCGACTACCATTGACTGGTTGCACAGACGGCTTCATACCTACCTCCAGGTAGTCACACGAACCCCTCAAATCATCAGCCATCAGACAAGTAAAAGCCAAGACTCTTTCAAAGACCACCTGAGGGATAGGTTATTGTCAGCAATCCAGAGCAGAGCACAACGATACATTTCCCAAGCAATCATCACTCGCCACAAACTTGACGAAAAAAATCAAAATCATCTTCTCAAATTCAGAAGCCAAAAATGTCCTGCCCCTGCTCACGTTGCTTCAACAATCCATCCACTCCTCATCACTCTAAACCATCATCGCCCCCTCCTTGTTCCCCGTCATCACCGGGGACAACATCACCGGGAACAACATCAACCACCAACATGAAGAAAAGCAACGGATTCCCATGGTTTAAGAAGAGCACATGCAGCGCAAATCCCCCGCGATACAGCGTGGAGAGCACGGCGTCCGATTTGGTTGGGTTACTAGGTTGAGTGATGGTCGGGATGATTGGGATTGTAGGATGACAGATCGGGATACAGGGGTTGGGTCGGGGGGTGGATGGGCTAGGAGTGGGGGGAGGCTGTTGGGAGGTAGAACCGTGTATGGGTGATATTGACGGGGGGTGAGGGAGATGGGAGAAGGAGTATGGGACAGGAGGGAACGAAGGAGAGGAGAAGGAGGGGAGAGAAGGGAGGGAAGAAAGGGGCGGGAAAGGAAGGAGCGGGTAAAGAAGGGAAGGATTAGGTAGGTAAACTCGTAGTCAAAAAACACTGTCCCCCTCACCCACGTATCCAATAGGTAAGGGGGGACAGTATTTTTTGACCATCACTGTACCTACTTGAAGACCGGTTGCGGTTGCATGAGTGAGTGGACTTGGTAGGTAAAGGATGAAAAGGGGTGAAAATGATGAAGAGCGTTGAAGAGGTGCAAAGAAAGCTCGACAGATATGTGACACAAAGCGTTTGGGACTGCTACATGTATGTTGGAGTTATGAGTTCGGTACCTATCGACCACACCTTCACGTTCAAAGACTTTTTGAGATTCAGCCAGTTCCCTGAGATCACTTCGTGTCTATAACAACCTACTTTATAAATGTCTTTTTTCCTTGCGTGTATTTACCTAGAGGTACCGAGCGACATGGTTTCATCCAGTACATCTACTAACTTACCGAAAGTAACTACCCTACCAAACTAGACAAGAAGAAATAGTTGTTCGGATCGGTGGTAATTAGCCCGTCGTGTTACCAAGACGTCTAACAACTCGTGCTATGCGCACTTGAAGGAACACAGGCAAGTTGGTATTGCAGAAAGGACAGCCATTAATGAAGCCGAGACTGAACGGTGGCCCAAAGCAATGCATTATCGTGATTCAGCAGTCACTGCTTTTCCCCGTAGACTTGTGCAGCAGGCATAGGACGTCTTCTGGCTCCTTGGGCTGAACTTTGAGGTTCGGTAGGTACTTCCCGTCTATACTATGTGTTACGGTTTATTCTCCGACTTGGCCGTGACTAAAAAGTTTTAGGTCGACGTTGAACGCATGAAGGTCTTGTACAAGGCCCGTGTCAACATGGCCTCCTCAGAGAGGTTTACTTGTGCTGGATGCCAGCATTCCGGACGCAAATGTAAGTTTGATCTCAAATGCATTTCATAAAACCTCTACTCATTATCGATCTACAGGTCCTCCCTCACAGCATCCTGGGCGGGCAACGTGGTGCCAAAGGCCGATAATCAAACACTCAACTCCGTAGTGATTACAAGAGGCAATGAAAAAGGGACGCTAACGCCAAGCAAAGAGAACGACCTTGGATCTCGTCTTTCGGAGGTGGAATGGGGAAAGTGCGCGAGTATAGGTGTATGAATGAGGGTAAAGCCGTCCTTGATCATCTTCCGCACGCCCTCGGGAATACCCTTGTCATCGAGATCACTGACTTTTATGATGTGACGATGCCTGTTGATACGGGCGCGCATGCCTTGTTTGACAGCCGTACCGGAGCCAATATAGATGTGATCCGGATGGCCGTCTTTCTCAAAGATGAGGCAGTAGACACCCCACTCCGTTTATCTTGGGTCTCGTTTGTAAGGCGCTTCTTCTGGCATACTACGGACATCGCACATCGAACGAGAAGTGGTCGGTAGATACGTCAAGTGAGTGAAGGCGTATGCACAACCCTCAACCGAGGGTATGCCATCACTCACTACATATGGAAAACTCGCATCAGCGCCACTCCCATCAAAGCATACGGACACCATAAGAGTTTTGATGATAGCTATCGAAGCTGCTTCTCATTGGTTTCTCTGGTCTTGGGTGGTAAAGACACAAGAATTTTGCAAGGCTGGAAAACCGACGAGCCCAACATAGAAGCAACCGGCCTCTTATCGCCGAACGTGTTGGGTTCGTCACCTCTACTAACACTGTCCAGCAGAAAAATGTTCTCCATCACATCATACATCTCTTTCAAATCTGGATGATTTCTCGTATAGACGTGCCGCGTCCTCGTCTGATCTCCATATGAGGAAAGCGATAGCTCAACAACGCCGTAAATTCTTTCGTCCCTTTTCGTGTCACTTTAAACCTCCGAAACAGTACAGACAGTACAGTTCTTGTTCCATTTGGCGGAGATCGTCATGTTCAGCGCCAGTGAACGGTCGGTTTCGCGGACCTCGGGCATCGCGAGATCACCCGTCTCATACCGTACATACCTATACTGGGGGAGGTCGGTCGTGACATTCCTTTGGAGGCTTTCGATATAGTGAGCAAGGCATATTAGATCTGTAACGCGGTTTGGGAGCCAAGGAAAAGAGCTTCATGGAGGAGCGGGGCCTTAATCATGATGGATGATGTATCAATCAGCTTCAAGTTTACTTGTCCTTGCTGACAGTATAACTCCCATCCTTTGAAGACCCCTGCGTCGGGGCCGACCATGGCGAACAGGTTGTCCTCCCTCAGGTCCACGGATGTGACTTCACCGACCTCCGTCTGTCCCTCGAAGACTTTGATAGTGCTGTCCCCATCTAAGCCTAAGTCCAAATCCGCCCATCTTGTTGTAAGGTTAACAATAGAGATTTCGTCGCCAGTATAGTTGGTGACAGCGGCGTTCATAGCTAGCTGTTGTTGTTTATCGATGGACAGCGCGGCAAGATTCAATTCAGACCTAGGGTGGGCTACTTGTCCTCCACGTCGGTGCTACTGTCAGAGTCAATGGCTGACTCGACGTGCTAGGGCTAGTAGCGGCAACCCGGTGAAGCGGGAACACCGGCCACATAGAGGTACTTGACGGCCGGGATGGGAGACGGAGCCTCAACGGCGATAGAGCTCTCTAAGCAGCGAGCATCGGGCAGAAACGACGTTCTTGTTGTTCTGGGCAGGCATCTCTATGGTAGTCTTGCTGTTAGTCACAGTTCAAGCATATCTGGGCTCAAGTTACTTACCTGTACTGTGTGGCGGTGGTGTGTGGTGATTGTGGTTTTTGTCGGGTCTATCTCTCGTTGCTGTGTGGGCAGAGTACCTACCTATCAATCAGTCTCAAATATCTTTTGTATCGCTGGACGATATCACAAGATCTCGAAACGGATTCAGAGACTCACCAATGATAGTTTCTCGTTGCTCTCCTCAGTCCAGAGACCTTTCAGTTGGGCTTCATTAAAATTGGTTTGATACATCGCTGGGAAATTTAAAACCCACCTCCCAACTTTCCCGGTTCCGTCTTGTGGCGGCGGCGGCGTGAAGAGGATAGGGACTGGCGGCGGCGGCGACGGAGAGAGTAGCGCGGCGAGATGACGGAGTGGCGGAGGTGAGAGCGTTATTGCCCTTGCGGGCTGGCTTGAAAAAGTCACCAATTGGCCGAGTGTTGGCAGAAGGCAAAGTATTCTGCTATGTACCAAATGAGCCTGCGTCATCTATGGCATATTCTGGAGAACGGTATTCTCTCTGCGCTCAACCTCCACCGCGACCGTCCTGCCACGAGCAATGTCATTGTTCTGGAGAAGGGCAACCTGCGAGACGCGAGCGTTTGGCGGCTGACTTGTTTGCGGCCTTGGTCTCCTTTTTCTATGCGCGCCATCCCTTCCCAATTTATAAAATATGAAGGTATTAACGAGGATACAGACCGGACATCCTTCTGTTCCGCACGGTGTTGATGTTCTTTATTTAGGCGCGCCGAGGTACCATGCTATGGTGGTGAGTTCCTTCAGAGTGAGATGGCGTTCGGCAGGGTGCTGTTTGAGGCGATCACGCCAGGCAGTGGGCAGGGTGCGACGGCGTGGAAAAGTGAGGAAGGTTTGGAGGGCGAAGTCCTTGGGGACTGGGAAGTCAGGGGTAAGACGGGGGAGGAGGGCGAGTAGGTGCCTATCCACAGGGAGTGAATTCTTATGAGCTCTCGTAGCTGAAGAAGGACTGAAAAGAGAAAAGGTTGTGTCGGGCGGAAATGGGTTGTTATAAGTCCGGTTATGGTGCAAGCTCAAGGTTGATGGGGAAGAGTCCGGTCGACGGTTGGGGGAGGATAGATACAAGAAGCCCGTATCTACCTCTAGGCTATGTCCCTCTTGACTTGACGGTGCAGGAGAGAAGACAGGAAGTCATAATGCATTGCTTCTGAGTTCATGCTCACCCACTCCTCCAGCAATTTCTGCAACATGCCCGCCCCCGCATCCATGGACATCCCGATCATTGATTAAGCCGAATAACCAAACTATTTGCCCCGAAGTTTCTACCCAATTCCCACGATAGCCTTATTTGTTTTGCCATAGCTGCGTAGCCAGTAAAGTCTGAGCGCAGTAGTAACAACCATAAGAGTCCAACGATCACCCATTACTCCTGAACAAGCAGCCCCCTTCAACTCCAATATGAATAAGTAATTCACGGAAATCGCATTACGAAACGTAAGATCAGCAAGTGTATCGCTCTCCTCCTATACCGATGAAAATAAAGATAAAGAAGAAGAAGGAGACGGTAAGGAAAATGAGGTAGAAGATGAGGATGGCAGGCGAGTAAGAATATACTGGGTGTGTTGGGTGTTGGTAACGCCCTTCCGGGTCTTCCTCCATTCGAATTCCTCCCGGATTTTCATGTTAGGGCCGACCTCCACCGAGAACCGGAACAAGACACAGGTACCGTCGGTGGTTATTGTAGCGTACATAATCTCGGTGACTAAGTCACGAGGGTTCAAGTTGAACTCGACGTCGTCTTCGTCTAACGGCGGCGGCACCATAATAAGACTTTTCACGCTAAAGGTTGACATCAGAAGGGGTTCTCGCTCTTCGTCGCCGGCGGCCGCCAAAATTGGGGCCTCGGTTCCCGTTCCGTTCCGCAGGTAGAAGCCCGGCCTGAAGTTGAGCGGTCCTCTAGGGGTAAAGCCGTAATGTACCTCGACAACATATAAGAATTCGTTCTTATCCGCACCGCAGAGCTTATATATAGTCAGTGCGCCAATAACGCCCCCAGAGGAATTGCCGTAGAGGTTCATAACTGGAGGAAACGGGCAATATCCCAGAAATTTTACTGCTGTAGGCATCCTGCATGTGCTCGAGAATGTCTTACGGACGACGTCGTCGTCGCCGTCGTCTAGCGACGTTTTGCTCTTGGTGCTCATGGCGAACGCGGGCCGCAAACGGTTACTGACTGTGGAATGGTGAGGTTTGGTTAAGGAGAAGCGAGCAACAATGCCAAAGGTCGCCCCGTGCTGGTTTTGTGGCCGAAGGCAGTCAAACGGGTCACGCGGCAGCATGTTGAAGAGAACCCGCAATATTGCCGCTGCAACTATAAACCAACAGCCGATGCTAACATCAGGTCATCAGCAAATTGACCTGCCCAAATAGGTATCCCTGCCACGCCGGAGCGAGACAAAAAAATATGCTCGCTAGAGGTCCCGAGGATTTGGCTCGCCCGGCCAGCTTCAGCCTCCTTTCCAGGATAGTCTCTGCCCAGCATACGACGTAATTTGAAAGGAAAAAGCGAAACTCCTGCACTATATTGGATCTGTGCGTTAGAACCCAGTTCGATGCTGTGTGGCAGACTGCGGACAGGACAAAAATCCAAAGCGCGCGAGACTCTCCGGAAATAATGCCATGTCTCAACAACTGTCGTTTCCGTTGCCAGTGCCGTTGTTGTTCTAGCCTTGTCTGTGGTGCGCGGCTGTCAATTTCCTGAGGGGGCTTAGGTCAAGTTGTCAGTTATCAGCATGCCGGTAAAAGGAAAAGACTGGAGCGGATGGTGTACTCCTTACTTTGACGCGAATGACCATGGCCGCAAGCTAAGCTTCGAATATGGTGACGTGAAGCCGTTGCCAAAACCAACCCCAGAATCGTCGGAGGGTGTACGCTTTGGTGATGTTGCCCAAGAGCGCGGGCCGCTCGTCTGGCCGATCCCATTGCATAACTGACACGAACACCGCCGCGAGAAGATTGTGCGCGACAGTGAGCAGAATGTATTGTATGTGTCCCAGACCCACTGATTAGACATTAGGAGCCCCAAGATCAGGTCTCGCTTGGTGGCATAGTGGAGGCAGAAGGCCCTGCTTGTCCGGGCCGATTGAAATCCCAGCGACTCAGGTGAAGACCGCACAGAGTCTTGGTGGTGAAAGAGGCTATGAGATGACGCATGGCCAACAACACTAGGTATGGCGCGTCCACATCGAAGAAGAGCAAATCTAACCCGACCTGGATGGCCAGGATTCGGGCTGTCAGTACACGTATCATCCGACAGGCACAGTCCGCGAGGATTAGCCCAGATACGGAGGACGACACGCGGTCGCTGGGCGAAGGATGCAGAACTTGGGAGCTTGAGGATCTTCTTTTCCAAGACAAGAAACGGCTCAGGGCAAATTTCCTTCTTCTCTAGTCTGTCAGTAGAGGTATCGAACCAGCCATCCCCGGGTCCGGGAGATTTGGCGGTCTCTGCCTGAGGTGCCTGTTCTGTCTGGCACCTGCCTGGTAATCACAAGACGGAGTCCTTCATGCAGCCTCCCCCTCGAACTATTCCACCATCGTCTCAGAAAGTTCAGACGACAAGAACCAGATCCTCTTGTTGCCATAGCAGCTATAGCAAACATCTCCTGCCAAGACGACTTTCTCAAAATCCTCGATACTAAACCCTGCTTATCCTTCTTATTCGACCTATAGAAGAGTGTCTTGACGGTTCTGACGATGGGAGATATCCATCAAGGTGTTCCGTCGTCAGGTCAACTGATTCTGTCTGCGACTGACTGCCTAGATCAAAAGATCAGACGGTTTTTGTAATCTCTTATTCATAACTTGCTTTGCTCCCGTTCTATTGTGTGCCTGTGCTCGTCGTGTATGTATGTGTGTGCCCCACTCTGCTCTGCTGCCTCGAGGTGTGAGAGTAAACTCCTTTTTCCTGTTTTTCCTATCTTTTTTTCTCTCCTCTTCTTCTAGACAGACACCCGAACATATCAACCGTCTTTGAGATCGACGTAACGAAAATCTCTCCATACACGTAAGGAACCTGTTGCTCAAGTTGTTGTGATCATCTGCTGATGTTGTTTTTGGCAGAACCCGCGTGGAGCAAACATCCTGCCTTCTGGTTTTTTGGTTTCTCTCTCCCGTCTCGAAAGTCTTGTAAGTACCTACGTGTCTCGTGGTTATTTATCATCGTGATCATCACCACCGATCCCTCGCACGGTTTTCGTTGTGATTGGGCAAAATCACTGACATCTTGACTCACAACAGTACGCGCATAGCAAGGGGAGCCTGCCGGCCGTTTTTCTTCCCTCTCCTCCCACCCCAAGATCCTCGTAAGAAAACCTGTCTCTTGCTGCCCCTCATCACCAAATCAGATCTCGAACTTCATCTCTCGCCTCGTCTGTCCCATCTCCATGGTGACAGTCCAAGAGGTTCCTTTCTTTCTCATCAAGGTTTCACCTCAGTTTGGCACCCATTTAGTATTCCCTCGCACGCCTTTGTGGCCGGACACTCACTAACAATTCATGAACAGAACCGCAGAAATGGCTCCCGAGAAGAACCAGAGCACCAACCCCGTCGTCGTGTCTTCCAACAGCAAAGGCAATGACAACGGCCCTGGCACCACCGACGCCAGAGCCTGCGTCCGCGCCAGCGCCCGCGGTGACGACGGCCTTGTGTCCTCTGTTTCCTCCTCTTCCGAGGTCCCCTTGCCCTCCGCTTCCGCCCCCGTTTCTTCCTCCTCCTCCTCGGCGTCAGCGTCTTCCTCTCCCTCTCCCTCTCCGGTCTCCGCGCCCATCCCCTCCTCCGCCGCTGCCGCCAGCACGGGCAACCGTGTTGCTGCTGGTGGTGGGGGTAAAGCCAGGTGGATGAGCGCCCCGGAGCAGGCGCGGTTGAAGTACGTGCACGTGCGTGCCGCGGCCTCGTACATTGGTGTGCTCAGGTCGCCCTTCTTCCCCCAGGACGGAGCGGCGTACCTGGCGCACCTGGCGAGCGTCAAGGCGCGCGAGTTGGAGAAGATGCGGGCCAAGCTAGAGGCGAGGTTGTCGAAAGATGCCAAGACAAAGTCAAATTCGAAGTTGAAGTCGTCCGGGGGTTTGTCGTCGTCTCGCTGGGCTCTGTTGCCTGTTGTTAGGGTCTCTGGGGGTCTTGCATCGTGCTGGATCCCGCTTTACCATGGCGGTGGTGGTGGTGCCTCCGGGCTGCTGCTGCTGCCGTCGGTAGAGTATGGACACTATAACAATGACAATGACAATGTCGAAGGGGGTGTGAAGAGTGAGGGTGATAAGGCCAAGGGGAAGGCTGTGTCTGCTGCTGCTGCTGCTTCTTCTTCGGAGGAGGCGGCGGCGGCGGCTGGAACCGAGCCGCCATCTTCTTCTTCCACCTTCGGAGACGGCCGTTCGTCTGGGGGTAACGAGGGGTCTCCCAGAGGCAACCCCAGCAATAGGGTCAACACTAGCATTGACACTCTTCCTTCTGCTTTTTCTTCTTCTGAAGCTTTTGCCGCGGCTGCCAGTACCTTCGACACCATCATCACCTCCGACACCCCCTCCGACACCACTTCTGCCGCCAATCGTGGATTCTCCATTCGTAGAGGACTCACGCCTCCTTCATCTCCCTGCCCTCCCGCGCCTCGTCTAGCTCCCCTGCTGAAGGGCAAGACGAACTTGACGGAGGACTTCCTCTCAGTTGTCCTGGCCAAGCCGAATCCGTTCAACGGGTTTTGGACCGTCAAGTCTCCGGATTCGGATAACGTCTCCTCGCCTGGGCCTGAGAACATCCCGTTTCCAAGCGCGGCCGAGTACATGTACGAAGCCAACCGCCGCGTCAGCCAGGTTTCCCCGGGGCAACCCAGCCTGAGCGCGCGCGATAACGTTGTCGCTGCTGGTTCCGGCCACGTTCATGCCGACAAGAGGAACAAGAAGATGAAGAAGCAGAAGTGGAAGCAGGAAGGAAGTAAAGGTAGCAAGCTGCGTGCGCCCGAGTCCGTCATGTCGCCTGTGTCTGTGGGCTGGGGTCCGCCCAGCCGTGCCTGGCCTTTGCCTCGCTGGCAAGGGCACATCAGGAACGGTGATGTTGGACACCAGAGCCACAACCAGCACATGTACTTGGACGAAGGCTACGTGCGCCGCCTTTGGTCGGAGAAGCTGGAGCTACATCAGCAATTCGCGCGCCTCAGGAAGGCCGAACTTGCTTTGTATGCCGGCCAGAAGCGAGAGCTGGCTGAGTCCGGGATCGAGGGGCTTATCACCTCTCCTACCGGCAGGACTCACCATGAGCTCGAGCTGATGGTCGGTGAGGCCCAATTTGATTTCAGCAGCAGCAGACAGGTGGTTTCGGCTCCTGATCTTGTTTATCACAGCGGTCTCGCCTCTTCGGTGGCAGAACCAGCTCACCATCACACAGGTCTCTCCGCGGCGGCGGTTGAACCTTGCACTTCCACAACGGTGGCTGATGCCATTAATGCTCCCGCTACGGCGGTTGACGCTGCACCCATTTTCCTCTCCTCTTCCTCTTTCTCCGCAACAGCCATACCGTTTGTGCCGCGGTCCCTGGCTCCCGATGCTCCCGAGTTCGTGCCATCCGGTCGACGTAGTGAAAGGGATTCGCTCTCTGCTACTGCCGAGGAGTTCGTTCCGCCTTTATTTCTCGCCCCTGCCGCTGTCGTCCCCCAGCAGCACCAGTCATCAGCAGCTGAGCAGTCGTCGTTGTCTTCGGAACCTCCGTCTTTGGTGCCGCAACAACAGCAACAGCTCGGTGGAGAAGAGTCGTTGTCATCCTTAGACCCCGGCCGCGTCAACTCTTGGACGGATCACCGTCGTGACCACCCTCGTGCTCCCCGGCACCTGAGGCCATCTCACCAAGGTCACCAGCGGAATCATCACCAGCCAGAGTTCGCACTTCGCCGCCCTCCCAGCGTGTCGTTTGGCTCTTGGTCTTTTCCTTCGCACGCCTTCTTACCCCTTTGCGAACCCCAGGCTGCCACTGCCACCGAGGAGAAGAAAAAGCTGCCGCCCCCGTCTTTGTTCGACCCAGCCCGTCCAGACTTCGAAGAGAACTTCCCGCCTCTTGGTCAAGCCCCTGCTCACACCCACACCAAAGCCAAGCTGTCCAAGTCATTCAAGCAGCAGCAACAACAATCCAAGGCGTCCAATTCTGCTGGCTCTCTCTCCTAGTTAGAGGAGACCAGCAACTTGGAAGCTAGCAAATCTCACCACGCTGCTGTTCAAGATGACCACGGCCACAGCCAGGCGGACATCTATGCTGCCAGCCCCATTCTTCAGTCTGCATCGGCTACAGCTATCGCCAGCACCACCACTGGTAATAATACCACAAGCGAGACGAGCGAGAGGATCAAAGGCACCATCAGTAGCGATGGCTATGGTCGTAGTAATGGCACTGGCACAACTTTTGCCGGCCCTGATGAGACTGATGGCGACAACCAAACCCATGTCCATCCCGCCCAGCCCCAGCCCCAGTTCCTTCCCAACGCTCCTGAGCAGCACCACAACGACATTACCTCGGCGGAGGAGCGACGTCTGCTCCTGCAGACTTACCACTCCGGCCGTGACGATCCTGGTCCTGTCCCTGATCTTGGCTGTGGCCTGGCTCCTCTCCCTGTTTTTTCTGTGGGCACCACCCCTGGACCGCTTACTTTCCCGCTTGCGCCGCCTGCTTCCTACCCCCACGGCTACGGCTACGGCTATGATCAACCGCCTTTTGGTCCTCCTCACGCCCACGCCCACGTTCACGGGTACCATCACCAACCTCTCCAATCTCTTCACCCCCAGCGCCGCGTCCACTTCGCCGACTACAACACGGTGATCCACTTCCCTCCTTCGCCTTCGCCTTGGGGGAACGTAGGCGCCGTGTGGGAGTTGGTACCTCAGCAGTGTCCAGATGGTGACAGCGCCGGTTTTGGTTCTGGTTCTGGTTCTGCTTCCAGTCCTGGGTTCAATCCCCACTCCACTCCTGCTTTCCTCCACCACAATGACGCAGGCCTAAACCCTTTCGTTCCCCGCCGTCCGACAGCCTTGGAGCAGCAGCTCCCCCTTCCGACTCCCTACAACTACTTCTCTTTCTCTTCGCGGCTTATCCCCTCCCACCTCTTTGAGCAGGCTCAAGTCACTTTCCAGCAGCAGCAACAGCAGCAACAACCCCCTCCTGCCTTCAACTCCGGCTACCCAGCCCCTTTCCCCGCTTTTAACCCGGGTTCAGTCCCGTCGTTGTCCTGGGAGATCCTGGAGATGGTGGATGTGTTGGACTTGGTGGAGGACTTGAGGAGTGCGGGGGTGGTGGAGAGGGAGGCGGAGGCGTGGCAATTAAGGGCGCCGGTTGGGGAGAGAACGTGGGATTTGAGTTTTGGAGAGGGAAGTGGGGATGTGCGAGGGGAAGGGGAAGGGGAAGTGGAGGAGATTGGGTTGGAGGAGGTGTCTGAGGTGGTGAGGGAGTTGGTGAAGGAGATTGATGAGTTTGATGATTAGATTTGGGGGAAGGAGAGATGTGTGAAAGAGAAGGAATTTAGGAAGAGAATTGGGATTTCAAATTCGGGTGGTGGAGGATGTTGTATCTGGAAGGAGTTTGGAACTAAAAAGAGTCGGGAATTAAAAGGAAAGTAAGGGGTATCCGTGCCCTTTGCTTACTTTCGTTGGAGTACAGATGATATCTGCTGGTTTGCTGGATTCGATAAGGTTTGCTGTGCGGGGAATGAAAGTTTGGGTGACACTAGAAAAGTTCAGATCAGATCAGGGGCAAGCACCTTACCTGGTTTTCAAAATAACGATGATTGTTGCCGCTCAGTACTGAACCCTTGTTATGAACTTAAATCATCTTGAAGTGTGTCCTGCCCCTTAATCATCTTGAAATGAAGAGTCTTGCGGCGTTTGTCGTTTGCTTTACACGTCGAATCCGCATTCCCTCTCCATTCTGCTCGTGCTAAAGGTAGAAACACTCGCCGAAAAGATAGATTATGGGGCCCGGCTTCGAATCGGAGGTTTTCTTGCTGGAACCGGCTGATTGATAGGCCTTGGGCTTGACGAAGCGAACATGGTAGCGTGGCGACTGTTTCGTGGACTAGCCGTGGTGGCCATCTCGGCAGCATGGCGATGGACGAATGGATAAATCTACATCCACCTCGAACTCGAAGTTGTCGAATGACTCGAAGAAGTCGATTTCAAGGTCAACAATAACATCGTGGACATATTGTGAGACGATGGTTGAGCCGCTTGGGTGGATATGATGGGCGCTGAGCCAGTAGAATCCACGGCGCGGCGTCGGTTCAAGGACCAGTGAGCAAACTTGCCTCACAATAGAGCGTTGACGTTGGTCTGAGTGGCTCAAGATGATGGATCGATTCAAGCTCAGCGATGGGGAGCTGAGGTCCTCGAGTAGTTGGGTTTCTTGCTTCAAATGCTGATCGGTGGGGATGGTTAAGCTGGCTGGGAACTCCCCACTGAAGGTTGGCCGCGTGGGTGGTCACAGGAGCCATCACGGCGTTGGCAACGCGGGGACCATTAGCTTCGATGGTCCTACTCCGAAGCTGTGGAAGGGTTGGTGAAAAGCCCTGAAAGATTCTTGAGCGCCCGGAAACCACTTGGCATCGTGGCCGTTTTTTCGTACCCGGTTGGCAGTGCCATTGTTCATGGTCTCCCCTCTTGCTTGATCTTGCTGAGTTGGGCACGTGAGGCAGTGTTCCTCGCTGGAGCATCTTTAACAACTGGTGATGGTGGTTATAGGGTTTCAGGTGGGAACGACGGCAGGAGAATTATGTCCCAACCTCAGGATCCGTCCTGGCAAGGGATGGGGCTTGGTCCGTCCATTGCCACGCGGCCGAGATGGCCATCAACCAGATGCAGGAATACCCGATCGGCAATTCGTGCGTTCGCCTCTTCCAGGGCCGCCCCCAGAACAACTCCGGACTCGGCACCCTGGCCAATGCTGTTCATGGCGTAATTTTGGAAGTTGAAGCCACGTGGGATTCCAGTCGGTTGCTGGCCGTTGGTGGCCGGGATGAATGTGGAATCACGGAGTGATAGCTGTTGGACAAGTGTTCAACCGGGTGGGCTGCAATTGAGGAAGTCGTGGGTACTCTGGGTGGGATGACGGTAGGAGAACGGCTATTCTGGTCAAGAGGCGGATGATTGGGGTACAAATTGTTGTCCAGGTTCAGGTTCAGGTTCAGGTTCAGGTTCAGGTTTGGTGATGGGAAAGGTTTGTGGCAGAGTCGATTGTCGCGCCTCGGGGGTGATTTGCTGCGATATCGGCATCCTCCAATCTCACGATACCTTCAAGTTTCAACAGCGGTTTCATGGGGTAAACAGGACCTCTAGCGCCAACAACAGTAACACCGAGGTTCTGGATGAAATCGGAGTAATACCCTCATCGAGGGCTTCATCCAAGTGCCATCAAGGTTCTCACCTACCTATAGCCAACCAGGTTCTCAATGATTACTACTTTTAAAGAGAGGATGAAAGGAAATGAAGGAAGGGAATGAGATGCTTATCTGTCTGACAAACTCGGCACTTGTATCATGGACACAACTGGGACACTCGCCCCAAGGCTATTGCAGTTTAGACCGTGAGAATCGCGAATGGCCGCCCTTGACCCCGGAAACGTGGAAGCGAAGAGAATTGAATGACTTGGAATACGTGAAGCGAGATGGTGTGTTTGGCGAATATATAGACTTTTCTTTGACTTAGCTGAACACGACTCAAATTATCAAGTGATTCCCACAATTCTGCTCTCATTCCGTGGTGTTTAATGCCTGACTTCAAGCTATGCATGTGAAAAGAGGTTGGACGCCAGGAAGTGCAAGTACCTCGACCCTGCCGTTTCGATATTTACAGCAGCACAACGCAGAGAGAAGGAAAAAAAGAACTAAAAACGCTGATAGAATGACTTCCACCGTCAAAACTATGTGCGTGAAGCTTTGTGTAACTCGTCCGTTGAGTGTATAACTGAATATCGAAGAGTGTCTGGTCAATGCATTGAGCCGTGTTCCGACTGTTTATATTTCGAATCCCAGTCTCAGCACTTGCGGAAAAGGGGGCGTCAGCCGCCAAGAATCTAACCACCCACCACCCGCCAATATTTCGGGCAAGGGGACAGGGGAACACGGATAACAACGGAACAGACGATTTCTAGATTCGCTTGGTTCTTCTAGAAGGTGGTTGACCGCACAGGGCTGGCACAACGGCATCTCGGTTCTTGGCTATAGTGTAGAAAAGGAGAGGGCAAAGCGAGGGCTTAGGCGGATCCCGAACCTTGTTCGTTGCGGAGTTTAGGCGAAATAGGCAATGCCATCTTTGACATCCTGATGTTTTGGGAATTCTATGAGGCAACGGCTATCGTGGGGTTTCCAATGCTCTGGGTTGGGGCGATGGGGTTTCCGCTGTCGATCAAGCAGACATGCCTGGTATTTGAAGTTTATCAGAGGAACTATGTACCTATGCCGTGTGTCTGGACTCTGGAGAAGGTGGTGAAGGTGGTGTTGCAACATTGTAAAGGAGGGTGGGGTGGGGGAGGAAGAAAACGGCGAAAACCTCAAGACATTCCAATACATTTTGCCGATGATTGGCGCATTTCGGCAGATCCATGCCCCTCCTCCGTTTCAGAAAAACCGCTGCGCATACCATTGGGGAAAACCCCCCCATGTTCCCCATTCTATTCTAGACTTTTTTGTCCCGCTATGGACGCGCCATCGTAGACGCCGCCAACCAGCCGATGAAGGATGTGCATCGAATCATGGCCGGCGAATGTTTGATGGAGTGAACGTGTTTGCGGCCTCACATTTGATCGGGTGGCTTGCTTTGACTTGAATATTAGCTTTTTTGTATGTGGAGAGAGCATAAGCACAGAAAGGAGGTTTAATTGCATCTCAATGCTGTGGATGTCTTGGTTTTTATGCTGTACATAGAGATATGTATGTATATTACTGTACGTCGGGTAAAAGCAACACAGGAACCTCAAGGGCTGCAATACTGACAGCTGCTGTCTATCAACCTCAGTATTCCCTGCGTAGAAAGATACCTAGAGGTAATGTATGTCCGTCATGTTGATAGTACCCACGGCGTCTCATCCCGTAATAGTTCTTGGTGGCCCTGAGCACACGAGCAAGTGCGGTGAACAATGACAAAAGTACGGTAAACAAACTGCGTGGATGCTGGTGGAGTGATTAGTCTGCTAGGTACCCGCGACTTGACATCGGCCCATTTAGGGCCTCAGTTAGTGCAGGCTTGGCGTACCGTGTACCCGAAAACCTCTCAGGGGACGACACACTGACCGACCATGGACATTTTGCACTTACAAGCATCAATCATTCTGCACCCAGACACACACACAATTCGTATCACGACAACAGCAGCCAGCGGCAGCGAGTCGACCTGCCCGTCCCGACCTTGTCCCTCACTTCTTTCCTCCAGACCACCCACTACCACTCAGACTCTCAACAACTAGTACTGCCAGTGATTCCTGTCTTGTCTTTAAGCGGCCCTGTTTGCAGCACTTGCCCCCGTCATTGATCACCCATTGTCGACCAGTGGAAAGCGACTGGAGTCGAGCAGCTGTGTGTGTGTGAGGGGTGTCTTGTCTCGCTCTCCCTCCGTCCCTCTCCGCCAATTGAATATCCAGCAGCCAGCCAGCCAGCACTTCCACGCACTTGCTTGCTTGTATTTCCGTTTATCAATGGCCAGTCGCCCTGCCGCGTAAACAACGGGCCACCACTACCTACCTACCTATCTCTAGTACCACACCACTGCACCCACCACCACCACCTTACTTGTCACCCGCTCTCGCCCGTCCTTGTGTCGCCGCCTCGTATATTGTCTAGAGCCGGAGCAGCCTGTACCTATTCCTTGGGTTTCCACCTCCCAAGAAACAACCGAAATGTCGGCATCCGAAGTACAGGAAGGGGCTGCTGCCCCCCACGAGGCGGTCGCTACCAAAGAGATGCCCACGGAGACGGTTCAGGAGGTCACCCACGAGCACGAGAAAGAGGACGCTGCTTCCTCTCCCGTAACAGAGACAAAGGACAAGGACTCCCAGCCCGACCACCAGCGACCAGCCTCTCTCGCTCCCACCAACTTGTCCGACCCAGACGACAAGGACACCGTAAGTCTCCCTTCCCTTCAAGTTACCATGTCACTTGCCCCTAGGGAGGTACAAGGCAGTGCAATCCAAAGTAACAAGAGTACTATACGAGCGAGTGCTGACCAGCGACCACAACCATGATTATTGCCCATCATGCAGGATACGTTTGAAGATGCCATCGACACAGGTTCCGTAAGGTCCCTAACAAAACGCTCTTCCTCGTTTCACCGCCCGCGCTCCCCATCCATGGACGATTCTGCCGCCGCCGACGCCGACCACGACGCCCGCTCCCACACCACCGAGACACCCCAAGTTCCCAAGACGACAGAGATCAAGGAAGAGGAGCAGGAAGACGTCTTCGAGACCCCGGCACAGGAGCAGGAAAACAAGTCGCTACACCGCATCTCGCATGCTTCCAAAGTTTCAGAGGCGTCCGCTTTCTCGGCTGCATCGCTGGACGATGTAAGCCTAAACGATAATTCTACAATTGGAGATAAAACAGGTACGTTGGAAGCTGTACGCACAGCCAAGCAAAACCCACCAGACTGTACTAACGAGGGAATCCAGAAAAATCCCTTGATACGGCGCCTTCGTCAACCAAGAAGCTGTCAATAAGCAGTATAGCTAGTGCCCTGCCCGCCATGCCGTGGTCACCTTCCGCTACCGACGAAGCTGTAAAAAGCCCACCCGTGGCCGCTGCCGTGGCTGCTGCCGCTCCTCCTGCGCCTGCGCCCGCTGCCCTTACTCCAGCACCACCGCCTCCCGTCACCCGAAAACTAACTAGCCCCTTTTCCTGGCTGTCCAGGAGTTCATCAAAGGAGCAAGCCAACCCACCCCCACCGCCAGCCGCCACAACAGCTCCAAGACGGAATACCGCCAGCTCTGTTGCAACTCTCTCCAGCAACCCCGATGGGACATTAGGCAAGGTTGACGAGGAGGGCAATAAGAACACTCTCAAGGATCGCTTCAAGCAGTTGCGCTTAAGAGAGGAGGGCAGCGCGCCCACGGGAGACGATGATGAGAAGAGCGCTACCCCGGAGGAGAAGGAAGCAGTCCAACCCCCTCCATCGCCGCTTCCACCAACTCCCAACCCGGCTCTCGCTCCCGGTACCGCATCCGGGGTCACTGCTGGCCCAGCAGGCTCCGATACTCCTGTGGACTGGGATCTGTGGCAGACGGTTGTGTACGAAGGTCCCGCAGCTGTTGCTCGGACAAGCCCTGAGCAGTTGAAGGAGGCCATCGCAAAGGGTATCCCCAGCGCCATCCGTGGAGTCATCTGGCAAGTTCTGGCACAAAGCAAAAATGAGGAACTGGAAACAGTCTACCGAGACTTGGTTGCGAGGGGTACAGACAAGGAAAGGAAAACTGACAGGCAGAGCAATGCCTCAATATCACTGAGTAACGGCGGCAAGCCGAGCGGCAAGGATACGCCCTCTTCTGCCTCGTCAGTTCACTCAGAAAAATCTGGGCCCAACGGAACCGGCGCTCCTTCTCCGACAGAGAAAGACGCGGAAGCCCTCGCCAAGGCCCAGGCTCTTGCCGCGGCGGAGCGCAAGAAGAAGGAAAAAGAAGACAAGGAAATGTTATCGAGGCTCGAAAAGGTCATTAGAAGGGATCTGGGCGCTCGAACGAGCTATTCCAAATTTGCCGCCGCCCAAGGGCTTCAGGAGGGCCTCTTTGGCGTGTGCAAGGCATATGCTCTCTTTGACGAAGCCGTCGGCTATGCTCAGGGCATGAACTTCCTCGTCATGCCTCTTCTCTTCAACATGCCCGAGGAGGAGGCCTTCTGCCTGCTGGTACGACTAATGAACCAATACCACCTTCGCGAGCTCTTTATCCAGGACATGCCCGGTCTGCACAAGTGCCTCTACCAGTTTGAGCGCATCCTCGAGGACCTCGAGCCCGCTCTCTACTGCCACCTCCATCGGCGCGGCATCTCCCCTCACCTCTACGCCACGCAGTGGTTCCTCACCTTGTTCGCCTATCGCTTCCCCCTGCAGCTCGTTCTGCGCATCTATGACCTGATCTTCTCCGAGGGTCTGTCGGCCATCATCAAGTTCGGCATTGTGCTCATGCAAAAGAACGCGACTGCCCTCCTCGGCATGTCCGACATGTCGCAGCTCACCACCTTCCTCAAGGACCGTCTCTTCGACGTCTACATCGACGCCACCCCGTCGTCCAACTCCATCCTCGAGAATGGCTTCTTCGGCTCCAGCTCCGCTAGCATCGACAAGGAGGTCTACCGTGCTGACCAGCTCGTCCGCGACGCGTGTGACGTCAACATCACGGCCGAGCTGCTCAAGGAGTACGGCAAAGAGTGGGAGGAAAAGACCAAGGCCGAGAAGGAGCGGGAGCAGGAACTCGAAGGTCTGAAGCAGGCCAATACCAATTACACGGTCATAGTACGCCGACTCGAAGAGCGCATCGAGGCCGTGGATCGCGAGCAGGCCTCGCTTGCGACAGAGCTGGTGAGGACAAAGGTGGAGAATGAAGAGCTCAGGGATGAGAATGAATCTCTCAGGGGCCAGGTGAAGGAGCTGAGGGTGGTCATTGAGCATCAAGCAACGGAGCTGGAGAACAAGTGGAATCTGGAGCGGGACGATTTAATGAAGAGGAACGAGAAGGTGCATGAGGAGAATCAGAAGCTGGAGAAGGAGCTGGCGGATTTGGAGGAGCAGTTGGTGCAGACCAAGTTGCAGTACGCTGAGGTAAGTTCTTATATTTCTTGTCAGGGACAGAATAATTGGGACAATGAAAAGAATGCTAACTCATGTTATGAGCAGATTAACTCGGCTCATGAAACGCTTACTAGGAAGTGGGCGGATCTCAAGAGGCAGGTGCAAGCTGCTTGATCGAGCATCGCGGTATGTGGTATGTGATACGTGGTATGGAATACGGTGTGGTGTCTAATAGTAGAATTCGGTGTTATTGGACAATCAGCCTTGTTGTCTTGTCATCCTCAAGAAAGAAGGGATAGACGATTAAAAGAACCATCATAGTCGTTTTGCTTTGCGTTGCTTCTTCACATGTTGGGACATGGACGGGATACCTTAAGATGGTTGTCGTCCTCAGGTTGTGTTGGTGCATTCCATACCTATTGTTGTTTGTTTAGTACCTTGCCATGCCCTGTTCTGTTAGGAAACCGACTGCCTATCATGGCGTTGCATTCTTGGGGGAGGAGGAAGAGGAGAAGGGAAGAGAAGAAGGGAAGGGAAGTGAGGCATTACAGACGACGAGAGAGAGAGGGGGGGGGCACAAAAAGGGGGGAACGAAAGGGTTGAATGGGAGGAGATGAGAAAGCATGAGGTAGCAATGAAGAAGCATGAGAGAACAGAGCATAAGAGCAAAACAGCATAATCTACAGTTACAATGACGTCCTAACAACATACTTACTATATCCATCTTGAGTCAAGATTGCGATGCGATGTCTTTGGTGGCGTCTGGTATAACTCTAACCAGGATACCCCCTTTCTTCCTCCGTCCCTTCTTCGTTTTGGAAATGTCGTCTAGACTACCTACGTATTCGACAATCAACTCCATCAATCTCGGCACATGCACGAAAGTGGTTAGTTGTAGGTATCTTATACTTTCCCTTACCTCACCTATGTGCGTTAAAGTTTAGGAAAGAGAATAACCAACAATATATATTTTTTTTCCCCTAGAAAAAGGAGTTACAAGACTAGGTAGGTAGGTACCCAAACATACCTAGGTAGTTACCAGAACTATTTGAGTAGATAGGTAGTTCATACCTTGGAGGAGGCAGCGGGTAGAAAGAAACATTCAAGGTTACTTTTTTAGGTACTCTGTAAGTCGTCTATAGATAAACTATATGAGCTAGCTAGCCTTATACTAAAGATTCCTAGGTAGGTAGTTTCAAGGAAGGACATTCATTGTCTTTGTAAGTAGTAGTGAAAGTGAACCTAATTGATGAGAGTTTGTATAAAAAAAAAAAAAAAAAAAAGGGGGGGGGGGGGAGGGGGAGGGGGAGGGAGGAAATCGTCGAGAGGTCCTTAGGTAGGTACTTGACTTGACTTGGGTGGTAGGTAGGTGTCTTTCAAGTTCAATTCCGAGATTGGGCAAGTTGTTCTTGTCACGTTCTCGAATTTCCAGCCAGGTTCTCGAGTGGTGTGAATAATAACAACAACAAGAAGGGAATGAATGGGATTAAACTTTGGGGGTTGCTTCTCTTCTCTTCTGTCTAGGTCTGTTTCTTTCCTTTCCGAGACCTATGTAACCCACCGACCGACCACTATTCGGGTCCCTCCCTGCCTAACTAAGTCTAAGTAGCTCGCTTGTATACAAACTTCCTCACGACTTACGACTTACGACTGACGGCGGACTTGCCTGTTAGTCCTCGTGAGTCAGTACCTACCTACCTACCTACCTACCTACCTACTGTGCCTCCTTATTCTTGTCGATCATCGATTTATCTCTTCCTTCCAACCTCCATCAAACCCCCTCTTCTTTCTATCTATGTCTAAGTTTAAGACCAAGTATAGGTCTAGATCTATCCCATGGCTATAACAAAACTCTATACATAGTAGGCTACCTACCTACCTACCTAGATATACTTACAAGAAAATTTCCTAGAGAAAGATGGATCCATGTATCTTCTCATGTCCTTTATTCCGTCCGTCCGTCCGTCCGTCCGTCCATCATAAAAGAAAACTTCGTAGGTAGTCAAGTGTCTAAAAAGAGACCAGGAAACCAGGGACCAGGGACCAGGGACTGAAAAGTCAAGAGTTAAGAGTCCGGAACAAGGAACCGTCAACCATGTATGTGGTCGAAACACGACAGAGAAAAAAAAAATCGTAGGCGAGAGGACTTGAGGAAAGACGGAAAGGGCGATGGAGTAGATAGATAGGTAGGATTCCCCTTTTACCTTTGTGCATAGAAGGCTTCGGCTAGAAAGTTTACCTGTGCGTACGTCCCCCAAATGATGTTGAAGACACCCAGTTGGCTAAGGGAAAAGGCAGGGCGAGTCTACCTTGTCCGGGAGCATCTTCTAAAAGACAGGCGGAGGTGGTCGCTATCATATGGCAATCGATGCGTTCGGTTTGGAAGGCATCGAACACCTATTGCGGGATGCAAGCTGTTCAGGCTTGATGACTTGATGAGGATACATACGGAGATATTATTTTCATATCAGACCTCCTCTAAACCAAGATCGTACATCATGAATTACGGCGAATTTCAAGAAAATTAGTGAAGTGAAGCTTTGGATTGACTCGGGTGGCTGTGAATTGTCATGGTATCTCTCATTATCCCGTTGCCCTATAAACCCCATTCCATGCCTTTTACCGAAGAAACGAAGCAGCGAAAGGGAATAAGCAGTGGGCCACCATCCTTTTTCAGACGACGGGGAACCACATGTTGGTCCTCGTACCTTTGCGCATAGCTCGCACGACAATGGACACGACAGACTCGACAATCGGGCGGACAGCCGACGCGAGGCTTGACCCATCAATCCATCTTCCTCCCTGATCCTCCTGGCACAGCAAACTCCTCCCGGCAAGGGCGAGACGTTTACTTGTGGAGCTTGCGCTGGTAGAAAGCGAGCTCCTCACCCTCGAGGATGTAGCCGTCGCAGCGACCGGACTGGCCGGGGCGGGAAGAGATGACGGCGTAGAGACGACCGGCCTCGAACTGCTTCTCGAGAGCGGGGTCGACCTTGCCGGCGGCGGCGAAGCGCTCAGCCTGCTTCTTCTCGACAGACTTGGACTTCTTGACCTCCTCAACAACCTGACCCTGCTTCTGCTGGCGACGGCGACCGAGGGGCTGGCCGTAGTGGGCCTCGTACCACTGACGGAAGGGGGCAGCGTCGATCTGGACAACAGCGGACTTGGTGAGGGTGTTGGTACGGACGAGCTCGTTGTTGGAAGGGTGGTCTGAAAAAGGCCACAACGTCAGCTTCTGAACGTGGTTTCCTAACCTGGAACGTGGGAGCCAAAAACTTACACGCGACAACGATCACACGGGTCTTGCGAGTGCAACCCTCGGAGGCCCAGGCGAAGTTACCGGAGTCGAGACGGAGGGCACGGTACTTGTGGTTACCACCGCGGGTGCGGACGGTGTGAATGCGCTTAGCACCGATACGGGTGTTAGCGGGCTGGCGACCCGCCTCGAAGGCTCTCTTCTTCCCTGCCGCGTTTGTCAGAAATGGTTTCTTTTGTACGCGTCAAAACAGGCTCAGAACGCATGGGGTTCAGTCAAGCTCTGCATTTCTGCAAGAACATCAACCTCCCAAGCGGACCTTCGAGAATATTATAGAGTATACGTACGATAGTAACTGCAGACAGACACACGTTAGCTGGATTACAGACAGCACTTCAATGAGGGGCGGGATGAACATACGCGCGCTTAGCACCGGTGTGGGAGCGCTTGTGCCTGGAGTCTCTGGAGATACCCATTTTGCCGGTTCCTGAAGCGGTCGATGGTGGTTAGCTTTGCTGTCGGTCGTTGTCCGTCGTCGACTTCGAAGGGTGGTTGTGGGTGTTGCGAAAGAGGCACGCCAGCGTGCCCCTAATCACGAAACTACTAACTTTCTCCTCGTCGGGCGGTTGATGGGGATGGGGATTGGCAAAAATACAAATGTACTCACCTCGTCGTGGATCGTTGACGGTGCGGTTACGAGGTTGTGATGGCGGTGCTGGCGGCGGTCTCAAAGTCGATTTTGGAAAATGTGGGTGTGGAAATTTCGCGGACTCTTTCGGCCACAAGTTTTGGCGGCACCGAAGGGACCCATAGCCCTAGGCGCTTTTCTACACTATGTACATATCACAAGTACCCTCGTACCTCTGCACGAGCCACCATGCCAAGACACTGACGTCCCTCTCGAATCAAAGTGGGGTTTCCTTCGCCTTGCAGCTGAGTGTCAGCCCGGCCCAGGCTTCCAGCTCGAATTGCAACCTGCCGGTCGAAGCCTTGTTGGAGCGGACACTGCAGTGGATAATGTCCCCGCCAGCTTCTGCCCCAGCCGTCCGCTGAAGTGCCCGCTTTGGCTTCGTTAGAGCCTCCAACAACGTGGGGCCGACTGCTGCCTCTTGCTTGCGACGACGTAAGAAACCGGCTCAAGGTGGGGCTGAAGGGACAAGCGGAAAATTCCAGATACGTACCACGAGCAACCGCAACACTGCTAGCACATTAGTGAGATACACCAGAAGGTCTATGTAAGTGTACAGTACGAGGTGCTCGTAGTATCACGTCTTTTGTGTTTGCATGTCATACTAAATCTTCCACTTCGGAAGAGAGCATAAGCTTTGGACGAGCTTTCAATAGTAGAGGTACGCACGCGAGTTCCAAGTCGGTCGAGAGTCAACGACGTTCAGAGCCTTGCCCCACTATAATAGACCACGCTGATGGATGATGTATGTATTTCTACACCTTCGACTACCTGAGTGAGCCCTTTCATATAGCACATGCCCATGATAGAGCGTTATGACATTTGTTGTGAAATTAGAACAGAACCGCTATGGAATATGGTTTGTAACTATTCACCTTTGCTGTCATGAGGCTTCACATCGATTGTCCATAGTGCGTACATTACCGTGACAATACCTAGACGTGCGCCATTGTACGACGCAGCAATCCAAGCTCTCCAAGCTTTGTCCAGCTGGTACCTGCCTAGGTACCTTACCTTGTCCCGATAACACAAGACGACGACAATGTGGTGACCAACAGTTGCCGTCATGTTCCTCCAGTTTTTCTCGGGCCAACGAGGGGGCTGTCAAACAAAGTGGAAGTTAAGTGTAGGTAGTGACTTTGTTGAAATATCGATAGAGTAAAAAGGAACTTTGTCACGGTGGCTTTCTATCTTTTTCATTGTTACAGTATGTACGGTACGCGCGGAAGCATAGAGGTAAGTAGGTACTTACGGCGCCAACCCTGGACCCATCACCAGAGAAAGTTCCCGACTGGACAAGGACTTCGCTGCCCGTGACTGCAGCACTCTCGTCACTGGTTTTCAACCGGATCTTCATCGAAACTTTGCAACTTGCAGGTGCCTTGCCCAACCTCAACAACACCTTCCCCGACCATCACCCACCTCCACGATCACCACTCAGAGACTGACTCCCTCAATACAATTTCCCACCGTTCGCCTTTCCCTGTCTGTGTGAACGTCGCGAAAAACCAAAAGTTGGAGCATCTTTGCTGCACTGCAGTGGTAGAGGTAGGCACGACGACGAGCAAACGACGGACCGCGGCATTGTTGTAGTGATTGCCCTGCAAGTGGGACGTGCTTCTTGAGTGAGGTTGAAGTTCTGTTCTCGCCCCGCACCCGCCGCCGCAGGCTTGCCAGCCAGTTAGTTGCCTTCCAACCAAACTTCTCAGGACAGTTCGTTCGGGTTGAAGCTCCCATCTCTCGCAATACTTTAACAAGAATAACAACAACAACAACCCGCTCGCTCGCCCAACCCAAAGCATCACGACGACGACGGCTGTTTAATACCCCCACCAACATCCGTCTCTCACGCACCACCGGCATTGCGGCTTCTGCAAGATCGGAACACCAAAGGACGACCTGCACTCGTCTTTTAGAGTTCTCCAACCAGGTACGTAATCGGTGCCAATCAACGCCTACCACCACCACCACCACCACCACCAACATCATTATCATCACCCCCCACTTCCCGCTTCTCCCTCTGTTTTTCCACTGCCTACGTCTTGACTGACATCTCCCGATTTAGTTGTCGCTCGCTTCCCGAAACCGTTTTTCTGTTCGATACCGAGCCGCGCAGCCTGCCTTGCTTTCTCATCGCAAGCTGCCGTTCATCAACGGGGACGTGTTGGTAGTGGAGGGGGAGATTTCACCTTTCGTTTAGTCTAGCGGCCCGGCCGCGTCGCAGTCATGGGGAAGATTACCAAGACCATGCAACAAAAGCACAGGGACACTCTGGTAAGTTGCTGCCCGCTTCCATCATGCCTTATCCGTCTGTCTGCTAACTAACTCTTCTGTCGCAGTCTCCTTGGCTGAAAGAGTTTGTCGACACAGCCTCGAGTGCACCTCTGCCTCTCATCTTGCAACGACTCGACGAGTTCCCACGGAGGTGGATGTTCCCGCGCGGTGACCTATACCACTGGATCCCACTGCTCAACCGTTTCGACAACATTCTAGAATCAATATGTGCCACATACGAGCTATCCAAGGGCCCCCAAACACGCGACTTTGGACGTGATGTCCTCCTCAATAACGGCGGACCCTCACTCGAATACCGCGACGAGCCTTGGACCGCGGAGCGTCTGGCCGAGGCCGGATACAAGGAGGATGGAGATTGCCAGCTTCTCGTCGCTATACTCAAGTTTACCCGCATGTTGCTCGAGCACTGCGGTAACCGAAGCATCTACGCGAGCAGCCACCACATTGACCGTCTTCTCAACAGCCCATATCTTGAAGTTCAAGCCGCCGCCCTTGAGGTTGGCTTGGAGCTGGCCCAGAGGTATAATGCGTCCGTCAAGCGCATGCCCTCGCCTCCTCGTTCAGTAAACCCAACCTTGTTAGCCAACCACTACAACATCGACCTCGAAAAGGTGCAACTGCTTGCACGGCCATTCGTCAGGACACCCATCGTCAAGTCCCTAGAAGCATCCTCGGCTGCCCCGGCCATCTCCGCTGGCTCGACTGCCAAGGCCAAGGACAAGGAAAAGGAAAAAGAAAAGGCTACTGGCCCCAAGAATGTTGCGTCCATGTATGCCAACGACCTCAAGGCCCTTGCTTCGAGCCAACCCGATGAAGAAGACTTGTGGAAGAGCTGGGGTGACCTTAAGATGTCGTATTATCCCGACACAACCAATGGCGAGCCTAGCGCGCGTGATTCCAAGGACGCTCAACCTGTGGAGCCTCGCACCACCTCGTCACCTGCTGCCCCAACGCCGCTCCGCCGTAGCTCGACAATGAACGTGTCTCAATCGTCCCGTACTCAGCGTGTCGGAAGTTCGGAAGAAGGTTCGCCTCTCAAGCCGTCGGGAGCAGCTACGGATGACCGCGATGGGCCCAAAGTGGTGGAGATCCCACGGTCTGTCATCGAGTCGAAACGCATCTATGATCTATATGAGATGTGTCCGCCCGACATGCCAAGCACCATGAAATTCGAGTTTACTAGCCGCTTGAGAACATGCAAGGCGTTATTAGGAACCAACAGAGAGCGTCAGCTGGCCTTGGCCGTTCGCCTGCTGGCCATTACCAACCTTGCCTACATCCTACCCGAGGCCGTCTTTGTTGACAAAGTTCTCAAGTACGACAAGGACGAACCGAGGAAATTTCAGCTTGTCTACCAGCTGGCCGAACTCATTGCCCCTTCCCCGGACGGAAACCCTAGCGAGGTCCCAAAGTGGCTCCAGAGCATCACGCTGGCTCTGCTTGAGGCCATCTCTCACCAACAAGAAAAGCACTCGGATGTCCTGGCGGCTTTAAATGTAAATGTCAACCATGGCATTCTCCTCTACGTCATCAGAATAGCAGTGGCGGAAATGAAAGAGGACGCCCCTGTTGATGATCAAGAAGAGCTGGATGCAGACAATTGGCGAGGCAACCTGTTCGGGTTGACCCTTCAGATAGCCATGGCTACGCGTATCGGCCAGGAGATGATGACTGCTGGGCTCATGGACTGTCTCGTCGAGATTCTTAACCTTCGGACGGCAGTTGCCAGTCGCCATTATAGCATGGTACTCGCTTTTCTGGACAGTCTGACGTATGCGTATCAAACTGCTTTCTCACAGCTAAACACTGCCGGCGGTCTGGATGCTATCACGAACCTCATAGTCCACACCGTTGGGGAGTCCAAGACTCTCACGGAAGCTGGCCTTGGAACAAAACCCGAACTTCACGCTTCCCTTGTGGATTATAGCATTCCATTCTACCATCAGCAGACGCTCAAGTGGCTCCTAAAGTTTATTCACCATGTCATGGCCAATACCTACTCCTTCGATGGTACCAACACTGAGCGCTTATTGAGGAACCTGGTCGACAACTCGTCTTTGCTTGGTAGCCTCTGCACGATTGCGCGCCAGAACCGCTTCTTTGGCACGGTCGTGTGGTCAAATGCTACAACCCTCCTGAGCGATTTCATTAACAACGACCCTACGAGTTTTGCAGCGATCTCGGAGTCTGGGTGGATTCAAGCCTTCCTGGAATCTGTTACCAATCGGCCGGTGTCCATACCTGCTGAGCAACCATCGCTGGAACCCAGCCAATCCAGAGCAAATGACCGCAGCGAAGGGAATGACGCCGATGACGACAGTGAAGATGATGGTAGTGCGCATGAGGCCGCTCCCGACTCGGACGGTCAGGCCGCTACTCAACCCCATCCACCAACTCAAGAAATGCTCGAGGCACCTCGAGATTTTCCTCCCGCCCACGGCATCCTACCGTCCTCTGAATCCATGAATATCATTCCCACGGTACTGAACTCAATTTCACTCAATAACCGCGGCATGAAAATGGTTCTCTCGTCTGGTGCCATTCAGAGCTACATGGAGATATTCGAAAGCGCTACTCATGTTCAGTGCATGGCGCACGATCCTGAACTGGCTAGTACCATCGGTAGTAGTCTTGATGAACTCTCCCGTCATCACCCGGCGCTACGGCCTGCCATCGCTAATGCTATCATCGACATGATTGCGAGGGTCACGCACCTGGTCAAGACCATGGATGCCACTAAAGCATGCGGTGCAAGGCTTGAGGCACCTGAATCGTCTGCTGGCCCGGTTGCTGAACCAGCCAAGGCTACTGAGGTAAAGGGTAAAGGCAAAGAAAAGGCCACAGACGACACGGATGTGGAGATGGCGGAAGCGAGCTCTTCATCAACTGGCAACAACAAGCCCGCACAAGCTCCATCTGTCCCTTATATTCAAGTCCTCTCTACGTTCCTTCAGCCGATTATCAGCAACTCTCATCTTAAGGGTGCCCTCATTTCTGCTGGTGTGATTGAGATTTTATTGGACCTCGCCGAATCTCCCAGCCTTCCCTACGATTTTGGCGAGACTCCAGCCTGCCGCATGCTGGTCGCGGCCATCTCGCAGCTCATTGAGTCCGCTCAGATTGTCGGGCTACCTTCTTTACTATTCAGGATGGAGAACACTGTCAAGGTTCTCAAGCCGCGGATTAATCCCACAACTACGGAGCCTTTCTTTGCACCTTTCCTCACTTCGAATTCATCTGTGCCTCCCGTACAAGATGAGGAATCAGCGAGCGAGAAGCGCATCCCGGATGTTTCGAGCGGAACAGAGACGGTGAAGGCTTTGCTCAACATACAGACCATGATTAAGATTCTGTATCATTGTTTCCCGTTCTCCAACCGAAGCCAGATGGTCAGCATGCCAGCCGTCAACGTTTATGACTATTACATCCGTTTGATCCAAAGTCTTGGACCATTGTTGCGCGGCGTGTTGAAGGAAGAGGCAGCTGTCAATGGTGCCGTTCCACACCATTGGACACTAAAGAACAAGCCGTACCAAACCAGTTCTTTGGGCTCTCGCACCGATGTGCAGGACCTACTGACAGACTCAGCCACTCAAGATTCTTCGGCTAGCGGTAAGAAGTTAACGCCTGAAGAGCAGTCGACTGCTGAATACAAGAACTTCCAGACCCTACGGGTTCTTCTTCATTCCTTTATGCCTTCTATCTTCCCATTCTTCCAGACTATCGGCAAGGCGCTGTTGCCTAGACGCAACAACAACGACCCGTACATCCGTTCACGTCACCTGGCAATTGCAGAGGCGTCGGCAGAGACCTTGATTCAGCAACTGCAGCAGTCAAAAGCAGAGTTGACGGTCAGAGACATCCACAACTGGATCATCATGATCCACACGTTCGGTGAAATGGTTGTTGATACGAATCACCGTACTGCCAGCGGAGGGGCTTTCCTTATCCTCCCCGTGATCACCGCCTTTAAGGAGCTTGGGGGTTTCGAGGCACTGAACGTTATGCTCAAACGGTTGGCCGACATGGTGTCGACCGGGGCCACCGAGGGTCAGGAAGCCACCAAGGCGAAGCTGTCAATGATTGGCATGAAGAAGGTCCTCGACATCTACTGCTTCATCATTAGTGGCAAGAACCTCTCGGATTCCATGGCCCAGATTGCCTTGGCACCCAAGCCCACGGAACGAACCACCCGGGAGTTTTCGCACCAACTTGTTGTTGAGTTGCGAATGTCGATATTACCGGTTGTTCGAGAAATTTGGGCTTCCAACATCATTGAAAAGTCAACAAGCACGGTGGTGAGCAAGATTATTGACATCATCAAGACTATCGCAGCCGGCGATCTGGAGTCAAATGCGCAGTCGAGATCCGACAAGGAATCGTTACCCCATCTTTTCAAGAACCGCGAGTCCGTTCCCTTCAAATGGATCTCACGCAAGGATGCAGAAGCACTCGCAACCGAGCAGGGCGTAGACGTCGATCTAGCGTTGGAGGCACTTTATCGTGCTAATGGTAAAGAGAGTGACACCAAGGAGTACATCAAATACCAGAAGGCACACCTAGTTCGTAACCGCAACCCTGTGCCGGCTGAGGACGCTTTCAAGGAAGTGCCATCTCCCAACCTTTCGTCATCGGCAGGGATGTCTCTCAGTAACTTGTTGAACACTCCTACTTTCCCGGTGAGCGACCTGCTGGGTGCAGAGCCTATGGCTTTGGATCCGGTGCCCAACCAGCCGCTCGGAGAAGCTAGTGGTGAAACAGCCCTCGGACACGCCACAGAGTCGTCAGAAGACGGCTCTGATGAAAGCCAGCCTGGCACGAGCCGTGAAACCAACGTTGGGGCCTCTACGACGGCACCACAACAACTGCCTGTACTTCCGTCACAGCAACCAGCCACCGAATCGCAATCTAACACTCCACGTATTACCAGGGAAGATCTGGCCGAGGAGAGGGCAAAACTCTACGATACCCTGATTGATCGCTCTCTTGAAGTCATAAGCTCTCATCCTGAGGCCGTGTTTGAGGTTGCGGATCTCATCCAGAACACCATTCTGAAGACCGACAATGAAGACAGGAGAGTGGAAGTGGGCGAGATCTTGGCCAATGCGCTCATGTCATTTGCCTCTGACGACGCGGATGAGTTGAAGGAGAATGGCAGTAGCATTGCTGCTTACGCCCACCTTTTGGCGCTTCTTCTCCAACAGACTGCTTTCATGCGGACTACCGTGGACATGTTGAGAGATTACGTGGGTGATTACCTTGGCTTCCTAAAGCTGCCGCCGGCAAGCTCCAACGACAACCTTCCTCCATGGATTCCCTATATTCTCCTCATCTTCGAGATCATGCTTTTCAAAGACGCGCAGCCCCCTGATATCAAATGGAAACAGCCCGTGAAGGAGGATGATCCAGTTGAGGAGCCGGTCATCGAGGTGAAAGAGCCCAACTTCTCGGCCGAGCACCGCTCGTCTCTCTTGACTACTCTGTTGGACTTCCTCCCTCGCATTGGCAAGGAAGAGTCATTGGCCGTTTCGGTGTTGAGGATCCTCGTTGTGCTGACCAGAGATCACGCGGTAGCCAAGATTGTTGGGGAGAAGAAGAACCTGCAACGGCTGTTTGTTATGGCAAAGCAGTTGTGCGGTGCCGGTTCTACGCGTCTCAAGCAGACCCATATCTCAGAACACATCCGCCAGATCCTTCGACACATCATTGAAGACGAAGAGACCCTTCGGCAGATTTTTGAGACGGATATTAGGCACCTCATGACTTCGAGGCAGAGGCCCAGCACAGCCCCGGGCCTTGAACCACAGGCATACCTGCGCACTCAAGCGCATTTGGCTCTGCGGTCGCCCAAGACCTTCGTCGAGGTTAGCACGGAGCTGCTCAAGCTTAACCGGGCCGTTTCGCACTTGGGAGACGGAACGCTGCGCTCCACGCCATTTTTGGTTCTCAAGGAGCGCCCTGCAGATGCTAGTGTCTCGCCGAAAGAGAGCTCAGTCGAACCTGCAGTGCAAGCGACAGAGGATCTCACTATCAGTGACGTCAAGCCCTCAACCGAGGTGACGGACAAGGAGATGCCCGATGCCCCCAAGAACTCCGCTCAAGACCTCAAGCGCCCGATTCTCGAACATCCCGACGGTGTTGTTCACTTCTTGTTGACCGAGCTGCTCAACTATAAAGATGTTGACGAGAGGGAGAACGTTCCTGCGCCTCCCGCAGCCGCCTCCAAGCCAGAATCTGATGCCACTCCTGCGAATGAGGCTACTCCTTCTCCTTCCGGCGACGAGCAGAATTCGGAGTCGAAGGAGAAAGAGAAGAAGCTGGCAAAGTCCCCGTTCAAGGCCGAGGATCACCCTATTTTCATCTATCGTTGCTTCTTGCTTGACTGTCTTGCCGAGCTGTTGCAGAGCTACAATCGTGCCAAGGTTGAGTTTATCAACTTTAAGCGCTCCGCTCCCGTTCAGGCGAACGCTCCGGTCAAGCCTCGATCCAGTGTGCTAAACTACATTCTCAACGATCTTCTTTGCTTCAGCCCCGCAAGCGGAGTACCCGAGTCGATAGCCATGAAAAAGAAGGCGGCAACGGCAGTGCCAGCGCGCGCTGTTCTGGTTGCCCTTGTTTCCAAGACCGGCGAGAAGCCTCAGAACCGTACCCATGAGCCATTTGAGTATGACGATGAGCCGGACTTGCTCTTTATCCGCCGATTCGTCCTGGATACCATACTTCGGGCTTACAAGGATGCTTCTGTCTCCGGCGAGCCGGCTGATATTCGGTACGGAAAGATGAACGCTCTTGCAGAGCTGATGGCCCAAATGATTGGCGAAGGAGACAAGGATTCGCGCCCCAACAACCCGCGCGGTACAGATCCGTCAATTGGACGGTCCCAAGCTCAGCTGAAGCGACTCATGTATGAGAAGGGTTACCTCACGTCCCTAACGGCGTCCATTGCCGACATTGACCTCACATTCCCGCACAACAGGGCTCCGCTCAAGCCCATCCTTGCGGTCATCAAAACACTCTCAAAGACTGCAGTCTCGATGAGTCAATTGGGGCTCATCCCTGCTTCGGGTACAGCTGGTACCGACCAAGCCGAGGACGAATTCCTGTCCGATGGGTCGTCCGTCTCGGAAGATCTCACCGATGATCGCGAGGAGACGCCCGATCTTTATCGCAACTCCACATTGGGCATGCTTGAACCCGGACGTGATGATGAGTTCTCCGACGAAGATGAGGATGACGATGAAGACATGTACGACGATGAACAGTATGACGACGAGCTTGACTATGGCGACGACATGTCACAAGACAACGAAGATAACCCTAGTGACGAAGAAGACGACCTCGGCGAGATGGGCGAAATGGGAGGAATGCCCGGTCAACCTGGCGTTGTCGAGGTCCTTATGGGTGAGAACGACGACGAAGAGGACAACGATGACATGGATGACATGGATGAGGATGATGAGATGGACGAAGATGACGAGCAGGAACTAAGTGATGAGGATGAGGACGAGGAAGTCGGCTCCGAAGACATGGATGACTTGGAGGACGATATCCACATTGTCGATGAAGAAGGCAATGCTATTGATGACGACGGTGCGTCGTGGGATGATGGCACCGACGAGGATGAAGAGGATGAGGAAGAGCTTGACTACGAAGCTGAGGCTCAGAATATGCAGGAGGCTCAACTTCACAACCGTCGGACCTTCCCTGAGATCATGCGAGCTGCCATGGAAAACGCTGGCGATGATCTGGATGCTGAGCCAATTCGCGACTTTGACGGGCACTACATCGACGATGATGAAGATGGCGAAGAAGACGGTAAGTTCCCAAGATCCTTGGGAAGAGTGAGCAAGATGGCTAACTCCAATAGATGATGAAGATGAAGGGGAAGACGACATGGATGATGACATGTACTTCGACGGCGATGGTCTTCGTAAGTATTTAGAACGAATTCCTTTACCAGACCTGGTAGCTGACATGAGAAGCAGACGATGACTTGCTTGCGCCCAACATGCCATCAGGGCTTGGCTGGGACATTGCCATCGAACCCAACCATCGACATCGGCCGTCCCGGAGCCCTTGGCCCAACAGTCCTTTCGTGGTCGGAAGACACCGTGACGCGATTGGTAAGTTCCTTAAATCCAAGGATATCATCTGCTTGTTCAGAGTGCTAACGATTTATCAGACTTCCAAAACTTCTTCCGCCGCCCTGCCCATCTCAGCAGACATCTGCCCCCTCCGGCCGACGTCATGTCTGGAACAAATCCCCTGTTGCTTCCTCAGTCTCGTCGTGAGGTTCCTCGTCATGCACACAGCCAGCTGGTTCGTCTGGGGATCACTCCGAATATGATTGGAGGCCTAGGAATGGGTATGGGGGTGGAGCCGTTGGCCTTCATCAGTGATCTCGTCCAACATCTACCCGACGTACGTCTCAGCGCTGGAGGAGGACCCTTGGCCTTGCATTTCACAGCAGACGGACCAGGCGGGATTATCCGCGAACTCAACGCCATCCCAATTCCTCCCCCGCACTCCCGCGAGTCACGCCCTACTGAAGCTCGGCGCGATACCTATCAGGAACCTCATCAAGCCGTCCAATTCTCACCGGAATCTACACATGAGAGGTGGCAACAAGAAGTCAAAATGATCTTTGGCTTCGGCTACCAGGACAAAGCTCAGAAGCTCGCACCTCTCATTGTTTCCAAGCTCACGCCGGCAGCAATCCAGGCTGAGAAGGAGGAGAAAGCTCGTAAAGCGGAGGCAGATCGCAAAGCAGAGGAAGAGAGGAAGAAGCGACAGGAAGAGGAGCGCAAGAAGAGAGAGGCCAAAGAAGCGGAAGAGAAGGCTGCGCGTGAGAAGAAGGAAGCAGAGGAGCGTGAGCGCCTTGAGCGCGAACGAGCCGAAGCTGCCGCACAGGCCGCTGCCCAAGCCGCCGCAGATCAAGAGGCAAATGCTGTGTCTCAAGAGGCGCACCCTATGGAGGGCGTTGAGACCCAAGGCGCGGGCGAAAATGCCGAGCAGCAGGCCGAAGATGAACGTCCTCGTGTCTACTACACTCTCCGTAACCAGCAGATCGATATTACTGAGCTGGGCATCGACGCCGAGTATCTTGAAGCCCTTCCTGAAGAGTTCAGGGACGAGGTGATCGCTCAGGCGATCAGCACCCGGAGATCCCAGGCGCGAGAGCAGGTTTCTCAAGAGGGCGAAAACACTGAGGTCTTCCAAGAGTTCCTTGAAGCACTCCCGGAGGAGCTTCGTAACGAGATCCTCCACCAGGAGCAGCACGAACAGCGGCGTCGGGAACGGCAAAACGCAGCAGGCGGCCAAGACCTTGGTCCAGCTGACATGGATCCTGCAAGCATCCTGTTGACTTTCCCCCCTGGACTTCGACAGCAGGTCCTACTCGACCAGGGCGAAGATATCATGGAGCACCTTGGCCCAGAGTTGGCCGCAGAAGCCCGCACTCTTGTGGCGCGTCATCGCCAACTCCACGCCCAACAAGGTGGCCAAGCTGCCTCTCGCTCCAGAGATGCTCAGCGCCCTACCGAAGCAGGTGCTGGAGCTGTCCAAAAGATCCAGAAGCGCACTGTGGTCCAGATGTTGGACAAGCAGGGAATTGCGACTCTTCTTCGCCTTATGTTCGTGTCCCAGCAAGGCGCAATCCGCTCCAGTCTCTTCAGCATCTTCGCCAACCTGTGTGAAAACCGCCAGAACCGGCTCGATGTCATATCCTCTTTGCTACAAATTCTACAAGATGGATGCGCGAACATGGATGCCGTTGAGCGTAGCTTTGCCCAGATTTCCCACAAGGCCAAACAACTAAAGGAGAAGGACGCTAAGACGCCTCACCCCTTGAAGCGAAGTCTCACAGGCGGCACTAACAACAACGGTCAATTTCCTGCTAGCTCGGAGGTGTCGCCGCTGTTGATTGTTCAGCAATGCCTTGACCTTCTGGTAGAGCTTTCCAAGCTCAACCCGCATATACCATCTGTGTTCTTGACTGAGCATGAGACGGTGGCATCCACCCTCAAGCGAAGCCTGAGCCGCAAGGGTAAGGGCAAGGATGTCAATGGCAAGGCTCAGAAGTTCGCCATCAACTCCCTGTTGACTCTTCTGGATCGCAGTCTCGTTATGGAGAGCTCCGCAGTCATGCAGGTGCTAGCCGATCTCCTTAACAAAGTCACCATCCCACTCCAAGCCATCGAGCGGAGGCGGAAGGAGGCTGAAGAGCAAGCGAAAAAGAAGAAGGAAGCCGAAGAAAAGGCTGCGGCTGAACGTGAAGCGGCCAACGCCCCCGAAGAGCAAGCCTCGACCTCGACTGAGCAAACCTCCGCCCAGCAGGAGGCGACCCAACAGCCTTCTGAGTCTACTCCAGCAGCTGCTTCTGGTCAACAGCCAGCGCAGCAAGACCAAGAGAACAAGGAGCTAGAAGCACCCAAGGAAAAGGCTGATGAGAAGGATGTTCAGTCCGATGAGAAGAAGATCCGTCAGCTCACGCCGCCGACAATCCCTGAGCACAATCTCAAGCTTGTGATCAATATCTTCGTGGCGCGTGAATGCAGCTCCAAGACATTCCAGAACACCATCTCCACGATCAAGAATCTTTCCAACATCCCTGGCGCGAAGAAGGTATTTGGAGATGAGCTGGTCCGCCAAGCTAGGGTCTTGAGCGAGAACATTCTCTCAGATCTTGACAACTTGCTTCCTCACATCCTGAAGGCTGAGTCCGGCACCCAAATCCAGGGCGTTGCTCTTGCCAAGTTTTCGCCAGGCGCCTCGGAGCAGAACAAGCTCCTACGTGTTCTGACAGCACTCGATCACTTGTTTGATAGCAAGAGCAAGAAGCAGGATAAGCCTGCCGAAGGAGAGAACACTAAGGAGGACCTCCTAGGTTCTCTCTACTGGAACCCGACATTCGGCAAAATGTGGGATAAGCTAAGCGCTTGCTTGAGCGCAATAAGGCAGCGCGACAACATGCTCAACGTGGCCACAATTCTCTTGCCGCTCATCGAGTCGTTGATGGTGGTTTGCAAGAATACGACACTCTCAGATGCTTCGGCGGTGTCGAACGCAAACTCGCAGAAGGAGATGCTTCTCACCAGCCCGCCTCCAGAGGACCGCATTGCCGGCCTGTTCTTTACCTTCACCGAGGAGCACCGCCGTATCCTCAACGAGTTGGTACGACACAATCCCAAGCTCATGTCGGGCACCTTCTCGCTGCTGGTCAAGAATCCGAAGGTCCTGGAATTCGACAACAAGCGCAACTACTTCAACCGTAGCGTGCATTCCAAGTATCAACAGACAAGGCACTCTTTCCCTCCATTGCAACTCCAAGTGCGCCGTGAGCACGTCTTCCATGATTCGTTCCGGTCTTTGTACTATAAGAAGGCCGATGAGTTGAAGTTTGGAAAGCTCAATATCCGTTTCCAGGGAGAGGAAGGCGTCGATGCTGGTGGTGTCACGCGCGAATGGTTCCAGGTGCTCTCCAGGCAAATGTTCGACCCCAACTACGTCCTTTTCGTTCCGGTGTCTTCGGACCGCACAACCTTCCACCCCAACAAGTTGAGTCCGATCAACGACGAGCATCTTCCTTTCTTCAAGTTCATTGGCAGAATCATTGGCAAGGCCCTGTACGAGGGTCGTCTGCTTGAATGCTACTTCAGCCGTGCGGTCTACAAGCGCATCCTCGGCAAGCCCGTCTCGGTCAAGGACATGGAGTCGTTTGATCCAGACTACTACAAATCACTTGTCTGGATGCTCGAGAACGATATCACCGACATCATCACCGAGACCTTCTCGGTCGAGGACGACGTGTTTGGCGAAGTCAAGGTTGTCGATCTGATTGAGAACGGCCGCAACATCCCTGTCACGGAGGAGAACAAGCATGAGTATGTCCGTCTGATCGTCGAGCACAAGCTCATCACCTCGGTCAAGGATCAAATGAAGGCATTCCTTACTGGTAAGTACAACTCCTTTGAAATGACAGATTGTAGTTCCATGATTAACAAATGAACAACAGGCTTCCACGAGATCATCCCTGAAGAGCTTATCGCCATCTTCAACGAACAAGAGCTCGAACTTCTCATTTCTGGTCTGCCTGATATCGACATCGACGACTGGAAGGCGAACACCGAGTACCACAACTACTCTGCCGGCGCCCCTCAGATCCAGTGGTTCTGGCGCGCTGTCCGGTCCTTCGACAAGGAGGAACTCGCCAAGCTTCTTCAATTCGTCACGGGCACATCCAAGGTGCCTCTGAACGGCTTCAAGGAATTGGAGGGCATGAATGGTGTCAGCCGATTCAACATTCATCGTGACTATGGCAGCAAGGATCGTCTTCCTAGCTCTCATACATGCTTCAACCGTAAGTCTTCCTTTTCCGCTCCACTAAGCATGGTATCATTGGCTAACAGATAATTGCAGAACTTGATCTTCCCGAATACGAAAACTACGAGACTCTAAGGAGCCAGCTGCTCAAGGCTATTACCGCGGGTAGCGATTACTTTGGCTTTGCGTAAAGGGATGGATGGATGGATAGTGGAGATTGAGTGAGAAAGTATGCAGAGGAGGAGAGGTAAAAGGTACATAAGCCAAAACATAAGCATCACATAGGTGGAATGTCACCATAGGGGCATAAATTGCCTAGATGGAGGAAGGAGGGGAGGTCTGATTTTTGACCCGTTATTTCTTCATCAAGGTTATAAAAGGGAAGGGTTCAAGTGCAATTGGGAGGATTGGGGAAGGGGGGGGGGGGGGGGGGGGGGGG